CTGTTCTTTCCAGGTGAAGGTTGTGTCCCCCCATAGTCCTCAAAGTGAAGGTTACCAAAGTACGTGGCTCTATGTATCGAGGGTATGCTACCAAACTTCTATTATTAATTTCCCAGTTCTTGAATAGTTGATCAAGATATTTGCCTGCAATCCGAAAAATCCGATAGGCGCAAATCTCTCTTCGACATCTTTATCTCTGAGTTTTCCCGTTAATCACTGATATTTACCCAAGAAATCTGACAGCAATCAAAAACAACAGATTGATGATTTATGCACTTAATGCTACTGTTTTGTTTGCCTCTTCCTTTCAACGATCATTTGAAGCCACTTTTGCAGAAGTCGGCGGAGCAAGACTTTGTCGCCAAGGATTTCCTCGTTTCGCTTATTTTAGTTGTGTGTCCTCCAAAAACTGAATTTTGGAAATGACCCATACATCCGATGATCTTATGGTCAAAGACCCCTTTGTCTGCCAATTTTGTATTGTTTGACGACCATGCTCTCATGATGCCTTCAGATGCATAACGTTGACGCACAGAGAGGTCAAAAAGCAGACTTATCTTTATGCTCAAAATATGAACTTTCGAGAATTTTAGCACTAAGTAGTTTGCAAGGGGTACATCTGTCCATACACGTCGCAAGTTTTTCTGGTTTTCAAGCATGTAACCCATTTGAGACGCAGCGTAACATAATCATCGAAAATAAAATTTTCGCTCTCTCGAATTTCCCTGCTGTTAGAATCATCAAATTTTTCAAGAATTGAGAAAATATGATAGCAGTTTGTAAAGTGCGGTTCATAATTATGCGAACACCCAAAATTTTGTAAGTTTTTGGACTTTTTGGGAGAATCTCAAAAAGCCGTTCCACGCGATAGAACGCAGCCGAAAACGGTATATGATCCATAAGAATGGAAACTGATGGTCAAATCTTGGTTGTTTCATACTGCCACACTGACTGCAGCAGACTGCAGCTGACTGCACTGATCGCAGCAGACCGCAACGGCCGCACAATCGCTGCATCCTTTCGTAAAAGAGAAAATAGTTGCGAATAAATCAAAACACCGTGATTTACGCCTGGAAAGTTCATAGGTTCTAACTTACTATCCTCAATCAAATTTTGGCGATTGTTTTCCTTTAATATGCCAATGTTTGTTCTGATTCCTTTTCTCATTGCATATCCCTATTTTACTGCCGCTCGCGTTGTCTTTTGGGTCTAATATATTGTTGTTGATTGTTTGGGCTACAATTGTTCATCCTCTCCACCTTCACGAAAGGAGTAGCGATCTGTGCGGCCCCGCGGTCAATGCTGTCGCTGCAGTCTGCTGCGGTCAGAGCGGCAGTCTGAAACAACCTTTAGGAGTGTTTTTGCGCCTAATGCGAATTTTTAGCGGTTCATAATTATACGAGCACCTCAAAGAAATGTCCATTTTTCATTAAAGATTGCAATCATATGAGTCCAAATTTTTTGTAGAGTTGCAGTAACAAAGTCTGACATACTGCTACACACTGAACCCAGTGCAGTTCAAAAAGAGGACCGTTACTTTTTTCAGAAGGCTTTAAATGCTTTTGGAGTGACTGCGCTCCAAAAACACCCGTTCTTTTGTGGTTTACGCGCTCTAACTAGCTTTTACTAAGTCTATGAAATAAAATAATTTCTTTCGATAGGTATTTTGTTTGACGCTTGGAATATCTTTGCGTTTACATGCCGTTTTTCAACCAAGTTCCAGGTTCCAACCTTACCACAGGGTTAGCACGATTTCGAGTCTCAGAACTCAGCTTCTGAAGCCGTGCAATGAAGTAAGCATATAGTATGTAGAAGTTCACAAGACTGTGTATTTCTAGAAAAAATCAGCAGGTTGAGCGTTTGTTTTAGCCACGCAGGCGTCATTTCACCAAAAACACTGTTTTCTATTAGGTTGTCCCATAATTATTTACCGTTTTTACTTCGACGGTCATCTTTTTGTATCTATCCTTCATCTGACGCGGCTGGAGTACCATTCGATAGGGCAAAGCAAGCTCTATAAGATGGCTAGCAATAGTCTGCGTAAATCATAATCCACGTAAAGTTATGAGTTGAAATATGGTAGCAGTCAAAAACGAACTTTTCTGTCAAAAATCGTATCTCTGGCCCAAAGTATCTAAAAAGTTCCAGATTTATTCTGGCATATGCCTGACACATCGCACATTCTATTGCATCTTTTTCAAATTTTTTTCATGGCTAGAAATAAAGAAAAAAATGAATGAGGTAAAATGGCAAACTCCGCCCCTAGAAGTCCTGAGCTTCTCCCACATATGTGATCATATAGCTCATACATACAGAAGTACGATCATGTATTTGAAAAATTTGAAGGTGCCTCAGTTCTCGAGAAATGCTGATGTTTAAGGTAAAAACGGTAAGTAATTATGGGACACCCTAATACTATTGCAATCACACCTTTACTTGGTTTGTAGCTCCACAGCTTCAAGATCAGTCCTACAAGAACCCAAAAACTTTGGCACAGAAACATCATCATGCAAACAATGCAGCTGCTTCATATCAAATGTTTGTGCGAGAGAGAAGCTGAGTTTTAAGGCTCGAAATCGTGCCAACTTTGGGATAAGGTTGAAACTTGGTTGAAAAACGGCGCGAAAATGCAAAGATTTCCCGAGCGCCAAACAAAATATCTATCAAAAGAGCTTAATTCATCTCATAGACTTAGTAAAAGCTAGTTAGAGCGTGTAAACCACAAAAGAACGGATGCTTTTGGAGCGCAATCACTCCAAAAGCATTTGAAGCCTTCTGAAAAAAGTAACGGTCCTCTTTTTGAACTGCACTGGGTTCAGTGTGTAGCAGATATGTCAGACTTTGTTACTGCAACTCTAAAAAAATTTGGACTCAAATGATTGCAATCTTGAATGAAAAATGGACCCTTGTTTGAGGTGTTCGTATAATTATGAACAGCAATTCGCATTAGGCGCAAAAACACTCCTAAAATAGACGTCAGTTTCCATTCTTATGGATCATATACCGTTTCCGACTGTGTTCTATCGCCTGATATCAACGGCTTTTTGAGTTTCTCCCAAAATGTCCGAAAACTTACAAAATTTTGGGTATTCGTATAATTATGAACCGCACTTTACAAGATAGTCTGCAAAAGTTAGCACCAACTTCGACCCACCGTAAGTTTGCATCCAAAAACTGAGTCGTACTGAAGGCTCAGAAATTTGCGAAAAATTCATATCTTTGTTCAAAAAATCCTACGAATTTCCAACTTGCTCATAGAAAATTGCACACCACATCAAACACTCATATGTACCGTTCCTGCATTTCTTCCTCATCTAGAAATCGAGAAAACGAAGATTTTTTTGTTTTTGCAGAAACGAAGCATGCTGTTTCTATTCATGTAGCTGTATACTACAAGTCCTTACAAGTACAACTGTAGATTTTCAGCTTTCTAGAAGCCCTAGTTTTCGAAAATCACCTAATTTAGCATTGAACACCCAAGTGAAAAAAGCTAAATTCGGTATTTCTTGAAAACTACGGCTTCTAGAAAGCTGAAAAATGACTTTTATACTTCTAAGGACTTGTAGTATACAGCTACAAGAATAGAAATCGCATAGCTCCATTTTTGTAAAAACAAGAAAATTTTCGTTTTCTCAATTTCTAGATGAGAAAAAATGCAGCGATGGTACAAGTGATTGTCTAATGTGGTGTGCAACCTGCATGAACAAGTTGGGGATGCGGAGGATTTTTCTGAACGAAAATATGAATTTTTCCTACTTTTCTGAGCCTTCAGTACGACTCAGTTTTTGGATGCAAACTTACGATGGGTCGGAGCTAATGCGAAATTTTGCATGCTTTCTTTTAGAGCTTGTTTTGCTCTATCGAGTGGTGCCCTAGAGCCCTGTAAAGAATTTGAGGTGCATGACTTATCGCCGTAAGAAGTTAAAGTGTAATAACACTTATGTAACAACCCAATAGTTTCATATTGCCTTGTTAAAGGCAGTGGGTCGGCAGAATGAGACCCGTGGCAAAACAAGGTCACAGGGTAGGAGCTCCATAATGGAACCTGTGGGCCAAAGTTCGATCTTTCTCTGCCACTTCTAACCGCTGAAATCAGCACTCATCTCCTATCCTCTCCGAACCCGCCCGCCCCCCCCCCCCCCCCATGGACGAGTGACTTCCGCGGTCAGAGCGCCAGCCGCAATGCTATAAGCATGAGGTCCCGCAACGACTCTGCATCTTTGCCATGACGGGCTTCGCGTTCACTCGTCCATGGGGGGGGGGGCGGGGGCGAGGGTTCGGAGAGGACAGGAGGTGAGCGCTGCTTTCGCTTTGAAATTTCGGGGGTTAGAAGTGGCAGAGAAAGATCGAAGTTTGGTCCATAGGTCCCATTATGGGGCTCCTACCCTGTGACCTTGTTTTGCCACGGGTCTCATTCTGCCGACCTACTCCTTTAACAGTTGTTATGTCTACTTGCGCACAACTATTATGTCAGTTTTTGTCAACACTATTTGCTTATAGTGCAGTGGCTGTACGCGCAGTTCGCGACCGCGGTTCTATGACGCGGGCGCACAAAAGTTTTGCGAAGACACGGTCGTAATCGGCATAATTTGCTCGTGCCTTCTTGCGCTTCCTTTACATTGAGACAAATTTAGGAGAGCTATTAGAGCCTCTACAATAGTTTCTTTGTTATTCTTGACGTAAAACTTTGTTACTACGCTGACTTAATCGTTGTTGTGCGCAAACCATCCCAAGAAACATGATTAGCTGCATACAGTTTTTTATGGAGGAATGGCAAATAGTCATGTAAAAATAAATAAAGGATTTTAATACATCGCAATATGTCCATTTAAATTCTGTCAACAAACCATAGCGAGTGAATCTCGCCAAGCTGTATGAATGTGCGATTTTTTCCTACTATGCTTTTACTGTTATACAACTCAAAAAATTCAATTCACTTTATTGGCAATGTTTCCCTGATAAATAGTTCGTAGTTAATTGTGGATAAGATGAACGTGTATAGCCTGATGAAAGTTATGGTTTTTTCCCTTTAATCAATTACATCATCTTTTTTCTTTTTTCCTTTGACATTCTTCTTTTCAGGAACGTGCTAAAAATCTTTTCGTTAGATGTGACACTACAAGTATAAATCCAACCTCCAAAAGTGCAGGATTCAATAGCTCCGTCCCGATCGCTACTTCTGTAGCTGTTTCAGAAATTTTGATTTTGGAACCACTGGAAAACGATTGAGTTAAATTTCATATTAAACCTCGTACGAAGCCGTACCTTTTAGATGATTCGGTGGTTTTGATTTCCTGTGACGTCTCTGTACCCCTTGTTTTGAGAATAGCTTTTTTAGGATTTACTCTTTGCTGTCGCATGCGCTTCAGTTCTGCGCTAAAAGAAATGGATGATATTTGAGAAATGTCTGTAACAAAACATACTTGCATATAGTTAGAACATCGTCTGACATCTTAGGATCCATCACATTCGCTTTGTTCACAAGAAGCACAGCTCGAACAAACGCAACAGCAGCCGGCTCAACTGGTCGCTCGACTATCACCCGAGCCTAAGATTTTGGTTCTTATATCAATTCTTCTCTCTCAAAAGTAGAAAATCTTTTTAATTCTTTGAAGAGCAAGTCACTCACAATGCCTTTCGTCTTCAAGGCATTCAATAACAGTTTACTTGCTTTCCTCACAGAAGTGCACTTTTCGTCATTTACTGTCAAAAGCGCATCGCCGATGTAGAAAGTTCGTCGAGCAATGCTGTTAAATCCGTTGTCAGTGCTCTCAACGTACACCTAAACCTTGTTCCAAGAAGGATTTTTAAAATAAGGCATGTTGAAGTTACCTTTTTGTTCACAGACTTGATATTAATGCCTAATGATGACCTTGGAAAGAAGATCATAGTATTTTTGAAGTAATGACAACGTTGAGTAGAAACCATATCTTTTGGTATGCTTTTATCAGCTTTCGGAACTTGCACAGAAGCAATCACCCGAGCCACCGCAAAACGAATCTAAAAATGGGCGACTACGTGATGACAGGAAAAAGGTTATGAGGCTTACTCAAGGCCGGTACATTTTCGAGGCGAATGAACGACAGGCAACGCGAAAGGGATACTTGTCCGCAAAGGCGGCTTGAAATGGCAGAGTCTATCCCCTTGCCCAGCGCCACTCCTTTAAAAGGGATCGCAGCAATGTTCGCTTGCGCATCATCCCAATGCGGAGCAGTGTCTCCGGGAAAAAGGCTTTTGAGATTTTGTGCATACCCGGGCATATTCACTATGCTGGATCCGGAAATCCACACTGAAGAGCGCGAAAGCGGCGAAAAAGGGCTCTAGCGCAGGAGTGAAATCAGCAGGTGGGGGGGGGGGGTCTTCCCCGCTGTGAATTGTAAATTCAAATCAATCAATTCAATTCATATGAATTCACGCTCCCACCTTCCAGATGAATTTTCTCGCTTCCGCTAACCGCCCTCACACCGCCACCGGCCAAATGCCAATGCGTGACTGAAAATCGGAACCAAGGAGATTCGCCGGAAGCAGGGAACGTGAATTTATATTGGGGAAAACCCCGCCCACCTGCTGATTCCCTCCTGCGTTAGAGCCCTTTTCTCCATTCGCGCTCTCCAGTATGAATTTTCTGATTTAGCATAGAGAATATGCCCGATAAGCACAAAATCTTCAAATCGACCTTTTGCCCGACCATTGCCTTTAATAGCGGATGAGAGCATTGGAAAAGCTGCCAAGATTTTTTTAAAAACTAGGGGAACAATCTTGAACGTGACCACTCCTATTGTACAAAGATATGTAAAAGTCCCCCGGCTCAGATTGGACAACGCTGCGCCAAAGTTCTCCGTGTACCCCATGCTTGTTAGGCACAGGAGCGCAGGACACCGCGATGTCGCATGAGTATAGGAAACGGGTGCTGCCACATATGGCGTGGGATAGCAGCATCTGGTCCCTATGCGAGTGTAGCGGTCTTGCTCAGACAATCATTGTTAGCATAGCGGCACCTACCACCGATTTTTGACACTGCGCGGACCTTGAAGGTGGTGGCTCAGCAGATCAGCGACTCTGAAGTATTTGTCGTTCTCCACTTCCCTGGATGAGCTGAGTTCAAAACTATGCTCTGCAGCTTTTGAAAATTATCAATAACTTGTCTTGTAAGTCCTCTTATCTTTGAACCTGGGCATGGTTTCTCTTGGTATGAACAATTCCAATTACTTTGCTGTGCCGTATACAGGTTGTTAATGGTGATACAACTTTATTGCCTGACGTTTCGGCAGGACGCCGTCTTCAGAGGCTGAAAAGGTGTCAGTTATAGTGATACACGTTCTGAGCCGCCAAACACCTCATCCTAGCTGCCATTCGATTCGTCTCAAGTGAAACTAGAGAGTTCAGGAGGAGCTGTGTACCCACCAAATGTATCACCGTGTTGCAGCGGATAGCCACTCGATGTGTCAGCTGTTGTGACCGAATGCGACAAATGAGCTGACCAAGATGACACAATGTTGCTTATATATGGGCAAACATTCTTATAGTTCACAGAACGACAGATACGGCAGTAGATCACTCGTCAAAGATAATTTCTCATTCTTGCTGTTTAGTTTCGGGTCTCGGACAAGAATGTAGGATGCTTCTAAGGCTTTTCGTGCAGAAATTTGTTGTTCGTAGCCCAGAATTTTGCACCTAATTTCGTAATCGGCACCGCCATGTTCCATCATTCTATGCTTTCCCAGCGGACTTATCATGCTTTGCCTCTTTTTACTAGCTAGATGTTCGTTAATCCGTACACTCAATGGTCGTCCGGTCTCACCGATATAGATGGCAGAGCACTCCATGCATTCAATTTCATAAACGACACCAGATTTTGCACAATCGCCACGTTTTCCGTACGGGCAAACTACGCAATCACGAGATATACATTCGGTATCATACAGCCTGTTACGGACTAATTGCCTTCTGATGTTGTCTCGCGGTATATTGACTAATACAACATCATCGTCAAGCTGAGCCTGTACCAGACACCGTTTGATCGCAGTAGTCACTCTTTCGGATATAAAAGGCAAGCACAAAGGTATTTTGTCCATAGCTTGTTTGCTTGTCTTTACTGTAGCCCTTCTTGATTGTCTGGGCCGTATACCATATCCATTTGAGGTCATAATCTCGGCTGCCAACTTCAGTGATTCCTGCCTTTCACTACTGCCGTTACAAATGCTTGTCGCTGATCTTAACATGTTGCGGACAACGGCGCGTTTGACAACCATTGGGTGTGCGGACTTCGCATGCAAGATGATATTCTTACTACTCTCTTTACGGAACCATTTTATGCGCACCGTGCCATCAACCACCATCAATTGTGTATTTAGAAAAGGCAGCCAACCGTTGCGCGGTTTCTCTCGTGTAAAGCTTATGTATTGCGACTGTTGATTCAGTAGTTCAAAGTACTCGTCCATCTCCGACTGTGTAAATGTAGCTATGCAACAGTCGTCGATGTAGCGGCAATACATAAGTGGACCTCTGGATAGCACCGGTTCTTCTACTTTGCTCATAAAGCATATGGCAAGCACGGGTGCTAAGCGTTGGCCCATCGCCAGTCCTCGTATTTGTGCAAAATATTTTCCCGACCATTTGAAAATATTGCAAGCTAAGCATTCCTTGATAAGCGTCATGATGCGCGTCTTGCTGAGGCCATATGTCAAGATTGTTCTACCATGTGTCTCGAGCATCTCAGCTAACGCTTGTAAAGCAAAAGAGGCAAAGAGTAAAAAGAGGCAAAGCATGATAAGTCCGCTGGGAAAGCATAGAATGATGGAACATGGCGGTGCCGATCGAAATTAGGTGCAAAATTCTGGGCTACGAACAACAAATTTCTGCACGAAAAGCCTTAGAAGCATCCTACATTCTTGTCCGAGACCCGAAACTAAACAGCAAGAATGAGAAATTATCTTTGACGAGTGATCTACTGCCGTATCTGTCGTTCTGTGAACTATAAGAATGTTTGCCCATATATAAGCAACATTGTGTCATCTTGGTCAGCTCATTTGTCGCATTCGGTCACAACAGCTGACACATCGAGTGGCTATCCGCTGCAACACGGTGATACATTTGGTGGGTACACAGCTCCTCCTGAACTCTCTAGTTTCACTTGAGACGAATCGAATGGCAGCTAGGATGAGGTGTTTGGCGGCTCAGAGCGTGTATCACTATAACTGACACCTTTTCAGCCTCTGAAGACGGCGTCCTGCCGAAACGTCAGGCAATAAAGTTGTATCACCATTAGCAACCTGTATACGGCACAGCAAAGTAATTGGCGGACGTGAAAAGTGCTGTTTGGGCGGGAGTCGAAAGCCTGACCTCTAGAAAGCGATTGGCTTGTGGAGCCACCCATCCATCTAAGCACAGTTGGAGTTTTGAATTCGCCTTCGTTACCCAAGTTTACCGATCTTACATGGAGAAGCCCAGGAATGAGTAGTTGTTTACTCATTTGTGATATTCAGTGTGGCGCGGTGAGTTTCAGATGCATAATCATGGCTGGGGAAGGTACACCGACGAATGACCTTGCGGATTTCTGCCAAGCAAAGATGACCTGAAACAGTATCTATCAATTGCTCCTGCTAGTTTCCCGTTCAGGCCGTTACACAGTCAGAGGCTACCGCTCACAATGGCAATGCGTGAACGTGGTTGTGCATGACGGTTAGAAGCTTGGTAGAGAGATTGGGTAAGTTATTTCCCTATCAATTTGTGTGACTAGTACATACCGGCCCTGAGCTTTGAACAAAGCTCTTACTATTTGTGGTTTTTTCTTTCCTGCTAATTCCTTTAATATTTGATAGAAATGAATTTTGTCCTCTAGTACTTCATCATTGACACTTATGACATAATCACCATATTCAAATGGTGGATGCATAAAAACTGGTACAGCAACTAGTATCTGTCCTCTGGTCATCTTGAACTGCTTCGCATCTGGCTGGAACAATCAATAGTGTTGTTGCTTGTTCAAGGACTCGGCTGAAAAGTACCTCGCCTGCCGCGCATTCTACGTCAAGCATGAGATTTTCTATAAGGTCACGAGGAATAAATTGAGGTAGCCCTTTTTCTTGATCAAACGCCTCAAGAGGATTGATTTCAGCTCTGAAAAAAATGGACACTTACGTCTTACTTTCGGGTAATTTGCACACTTACGGAGCCGTCGAACTACTTGCTCTCGCGGCCTCGGATTTGCATGCCATGGGCAGACGAACCAACAGTTGATTAAGCGGAACCTTTTCCGACAGAAATGTAACAACAAATGAACCAACCCCTTTTCAAAATGTCTGCAGACTTATCACTTGAAGTGTTTGTAAATAACGTCTTTGCAGAGTTCTGTACATCATATCAGATTATTTCCCTTTGTGACTGTGTTTGATTCATGGTAGTCGTGAATCAAGGGTAGTGTATGTATGCAAGGCTTTCGATTCAAAAATAAAACTTTTAGAAACTTATGAACACATATGCAACAAACATACATACCACACAGACAAACAGACATTTAGCTCTATTATAAGATGATATATAAGATGATCTTATACAACAAAACTATTTACAACTTTATTTTGATGAACATTTGCAACATGCTTACAATTGCAGTAGTTACATCCTTCAATTCCAATGAATAAGAAACACTGGAGCGGACTAAGTGGATGTTTTAGAATGAATTTCAGGCCCGTATGCACGTACATCCCCGCGGAAAGGGGAGGGGATCTGAGAGGGGAAGCGTCATATCTCGCTACTCTGTATACCTTTCTTCTTCCTTCTTTATCTGTGATATGAAGGTTCTCATACCCTGATGCCTACGCATATAGATGCCAGGTTATTGCCATACAAGATTAGATATTCACTATTTTGTCTAATCCCCTGGGGATCCCCAGGGGATCTCCTCACATTTTCAAAGTCATTTATCTTCCTGAAAACACAATGAAAATGCTCTAAAATTGTACTGAGGATATACTACAGCACTGCTAAACATATGTATGGTGGAAAGAGTGAAATCTCAAGATATCAAAATCTTCGATGAACCGCTGCTCGCGAGCCAGGGATTTTCTAAAAAATCAAAATCTCCAGATTCCATTTCTTCTGTCGAAAACATGCTCAGCAGTATCGTAGTATATCTTCAGTACAATTTTGCAGCGTTTTCATTGAGTTTTCAGAAAGATAAATGACTTTGAAAATGTGAGGTGATCCCCTGAGGATCCCCAGGGGATCAGACAAAATAGTGAATATCTAATCTTGTATGGCACTAACCTAGCTCCGTTATGCGCGAGTATCATTGTATGAGAAACTTCTTAAGCAAGATAGAGAAAGATATGTAGACTAGCGAGGTATGACGCTTCCCCTCTCAGATCCCCTCCCCTCCCCGCGGGAATGTACGTGCAAACGGGCCTTAATTGAATGTCGTTGGAATGAAATCTAGAACCATTCTTTTCCGGCGATTAGAATTGTTGCTTGCTTGTTACTTGAAGCTGGTTAACATCTTTAGGCTTGTTTACCAGCATAAACATAGCCATTCGTCATCTACTTTATAAAAAGGACTCAAGTATTCGTTAATCGCGATAATTACGCAGCAAGCGCCATTCTCGCAGGCTCACTTGCCTGTAAAGGCATATGCATCCAAAAAGTGAAACCGCTGGTGTTGTAGACGTCTCCGAAATGCAATCTGCTATTGCCTAAACCGAAATCTTTGTTTGGTTACTCTCATAGCACTCCTTAGGGACTTCTAATCGTCACTGATTTTGTCTAGGTATACAATACCGCTCACAGAACGTGCAAAATTCCAATATGTCGCAGAAAACTGCAACATTCCTAAGATGATATCGCATAATTCTTACAAGCAAATTGCAGAACATCGGGAATTTTGCGAAAATTCGGGAATTCCGCAGACGGCAGTGTCCGAGAAGGACTTCGCTCTTCCGTTTTTCGCCTTTGCAAAGTCGTCTCCCTTTGCTGAGCCTATGCTTGATTTCGCAGCACAATGGCTGAAGTGAGCTTTTTTCGCAGTGCCCTCTGTCTTTAAGAACAGCTGAGTGACATCTTCCCAGAAATTCGCCCACAGAAAATGATTAAAGTCCTTAGATGTACGTGACACTCAGTGCAAGAAGCTGATTACAGCTACCTGGTTCTTTTCAGTTTTTTGTGTCGTTACAAGGTACTGTATTCAAACGGTAAATAAACCTTGCTTTCTTTTCAAAAATCAATATCGTTGTTGGCTAGAAAAAAAACAGCCTCCAATCTCTTCCTACTAGCTACATCTATCCCTCTTATATATCAAAAATACAGGGTGTCCCAAAAAATGTATCGAACGTTTGATCGTTAATATCTCTCTTCCCAAGAAGTCTTTTGCCTTGCTTCAGTACCGTTTTGTAGAGCTGGCTTCAACTTAGATTTGCATTATAGAACGAATCACCCATCTCTCTTCGTTACTGTAGGATTACGGTAGAAACTTGAAACATATGGTGTCAATGTGGAAGAAGCTGCCGTTTCAAAATTTTTCAAAAAAATGTGAAAACTTGTGCATTGGGGTTTTTATGGACGCTGAGTTCAATACTCAACTATTCACAAGATTACGAAGCTTTCTAAAGGGTGTAACCGCACTTTTTATAAACATTGAAAAAATGGCCGCTAGTTCTTACCTGGCATAACTCTTCAATGGAGCATTGAAGAGTTATGCCAGCAATGGAGCATCATATAAATTGGGAACTATACAGTTATAATCAACAACTCTAATTAGCCTAGTGTGAAAGTTTTCAGGCTGTTTTGTTTCCTTTCTGGGGCAAAATATGACCTTTCATTGCTCAAAACCCTCTTTGAAGTTTCTACCGTAATCCTACAGTAATGAAGAGGGATGAGTGATTCGTTCTATAATGGAACTCTAAGTTGAAGCCAGCTCTACAGAAAGGTATCTGAAGCAAGGGAAAAGACTTCTTTAGAAGAGAGATATTAATGATCAAACGTTAAATATTTTTTTGGGACACCCTGTATTTATCGAATCCCTCTATATGCAATACGCTCGTTACGTCGTCATGAAAACACGCCCACAGGAAAACAAGTCTACTTTTTGCACAAATAACACGGTGGAGCTGTGTCAGCTCTAAATTATTTCAACACAGCATTAGCATTAACTGTCCATCCATCTCAAAAAAAGTGCGTGCAAGACTTCTAAACCAAGAAGAAATCAAACAAACGCAAATCAACGAAGCTTCTTGCCGTGCGATAAAAACAGATTATAGTGCAGTGAATCAAGATGTGCACCTGCAGATCAAGTAAAATGTAATGCTTGTCCAAATTTTGTCTATTTTGAAAAGAGATACGGATCAACGAGAAGTTGGCGATCAAGCGAGTTCAACGACGGAGCGTGGCTGCTAAAGCGGCATATAGATTGCTACTCAGGAATTCGCGCCCTGCGAGCGGTCCTCTTACAAAGACTAGAGTACAGGCGGTCGACATAAGGCTCCCGCCAGAGTGCCGAAGCCATGCCAGCGCTACGCCAGCGCCGAGCCAGCGTTTCGATCGATACACGTGTATTTCGTTGGGGACATCTACCTGCTGAGAACTAGGGCGGGGCCCATCTGACCTAGCTCTCAGCAGGTAGATGTCCCCAATGAAACACACGTGTATCGATCGAAACGCTGGCTCGGCGCTGGCGTAGCGCTGGCATGGCTTCGGCACTCTGGCGGGAGCCTAAGCCTAAAGCTTTCGTGCGTGCGGCAAACAGCCGAAGCGCGCCGGCAATACCTGTTGCCGTGCAAGCGGCCAACAGTGAGTGACCTCTATCTTTCTTCTTACAATTTCTACATATGTGAGCATAAACGATATCTGTGTAAGGTACGACGCAGCGTTTAGGCCGTCCTAAGCGTTAACATACCGTTCTGTCAACATTTTTCTTGACCAGCAAGACTGGAAATGGTTGGGCTTCCCCATGAATGGTTGGCCAATGCTGCAGGCATTGATCCACATTCCCAGAATGTAAAGAGGATCAACCTATTTAAGAAAATGGTTAAGGTATCCCACACAAAATTACCCCAACAGCAAGCGAGCGGCCAACCTTTCCCTCGCAAGCGGTGAGCATTAGAAACCGTGCGGGCGCCCCACATTAACCGTACCAGCGGTATTTGACGACCGTACAATTGGCGTTTGTAATGCTGTCGCTGGCCGCCTGCACGGCGCAGGTCCCTGAGTAGTTAACAGGCCACCATTGCATTTCAAATCCTCGTCATCTGACACGGTGATCGATGGAGGCTGAAATTTTGTTAATTTCAACAACGAAGACTCGCTCTAGCAATGGTCCGTGGATGAATTATAAGGAAACTAAACGGCATCGTTTATCCCAATTCTTGACACTTATGTTCCCTGATTCCGAATAAATGTGCGATCAGGGTCCCCTCCAGGTGGAGAAGGGAGGGGGAGGAGGAGAAGAAGGGGGGGGGGGGCGTAACGTAAGCTTACCTGCCGAGCGGGACTAGGGATGAAATGGATAATATTTTGTACAGAGGGATATTAGGAAGAATATCTCAATGCCTTGGCTTGGAAAAATCATCGAACAGAAACTTTTTTTTCTTACAGAGAAGCTTTTCTTTATCGAGCGACATAACATTCGAAAGCGTGGAACATATAGAAGCGACGTAGAGCGTCTTTTTTTCTCTAATGTGCAAAGACTGATATGAGAGATTTTATCTGGCTACAATAACAGCTAATTCTAACGACATTTTGTAGCTCTTTTTCGAAACGGAAAAGATATTTTCGAAGCTTTGAATGTGGACAGAAAGCTCTAGAACTGAAGAATTTCATTTCTCTTTCATCTATCATACTTTCCAAGAAAAGGAAATATAGTTCGGTTCTTATTAATGCAGGCATGTTCACGACCAGGGCCCAGCACGAGGGTGGCAAGTGGACATCAATGAAACGACTTCGTCTTTGCCATTTGATTTCGCCTTCTGCGTAGGTTGTTTGATGGAGAGCGTTTTTTTCTCGAAAAGACCGGCGTTGTTGCTATCCCGAATCCTAACAAGGAGGAGAGGAGGAGTTTTGAAAAATCAAAATGTTATCATACACCAAACTTTAGGTGTAGAACAGATTTAGTGTGAAAATTTCGAAGACCTTGTATGAAATGGAAGTTTTGCCTGCCTCAGGTGGGCATTAGGTGAGCAGTTGCCCATCTAATTCGAAAAAAAAAATTAGGCGCGCTCTTTATTCACATAAGTTTTCCATAAATTTTCACACTTTTCTCCTTAGTCCGACCG